TCTCTCACCCTCCCGCGCTTCTGACTGTACCCAGTGCTTGTATAAATAAATAAATAAATCTTTTAAAAGAAAAAACAACAAAAAACTTCTGTAGTCCTAAGCTACATCCCCATTTTTAAGACCATTGTGAGAAAGGTAATTGTATTAGGATCCTCCAGAGAAACATAACCAACAGGATCTCTGTTTCTCTACTGATCTTTGTATCTACTATCTCAATCAATTTATATGGGGGGAGAGACAGAGTGGGGAGAGAGAGAAAGATAAATTTTAAGGAATTGGCACATGAGATTGTGGAATTTGGCAAATCTGAATTCTGCACATCAGGTCAGCAGAATGAAAATTCTGACAGAAGTCTGTCTTGCAGATTTCAGCCCTGAGGACAATCTGAGGCAGAATCACTTCTGGAGATCACTCTCATTTAAGACCTTCCACTCATTGTATGAGATCTACCCACATTAAGGAGAGTAATCTGCTTAACTAAAAGTCTACAAGTTTAAATGTTAGTGCATTTAAAAGAACAACATCAATACTGGTATTTGATCATGCCACTGGGTGCCATGGTCTAGCCAAATTTACACATAAAATTAACCACCACACCAATTTAAAGGATATAATTATTACTTTCCAGATAATGAAAATAAAGTCAAGTGACTTGCTCCAGTGGACACAGTAGTATGAGAGATGAGTTGGTAAAGGACTATAAAGAAACAGTATTCAAATTTTAGATATATTAACCCACAAGATAGGTCTTCACTCAATAATATTTATTAGTTCAGCAGGACAACAATAGAACCTAACACTAATTTGACAGAACTTTTGCATTTTCTGTTCCCCAACTTTATTGACAAAAATTGCGTTTTCTTAATATATGCAATGTGATGATTTGATATATGTATACATTGTGAAATAATTACCACAATCAGCCACTGTTATATTTTCTTGCTACAAAATTTTAAACTTCCATTCAGTAATTAATTACATCTCATAAAGGGTGCTATTTATTTATATTAACTAGAAGTAAGAACTTTTCTTCTATAATCAATATTTGTTGAATGAATGAATGGACTTTGAGTAGCAGATTTTGGAAACTGTTCAAATACACTTCTAACGGCTACTGATTAAAGTGGAAATGGAAAGTAGTCTTAGTTCTACCTCACTTGGCCAGAAGAAGGCAAAAGTAGTGAAAAGAACAAATGCAAAATTTCAAAGAAAGAAAAGGATTAAAAAATCCCAGGGACCAACTTGAAAATGGTGAAACTATTAAATAAAAACCAGTTGCTAATATCTTATTTTTTAAAAATATTTTGCTTTCTGTTTCCTTTCATAAGGAATTATGAATAAAGTGGATGAAAGAATGTAACATTAGCTAAATTACTCCTGCATAATTAGAGAAAATTGGTAAGTTTTACAACCTGTTTAACTTGCATGACCTTGCTTTTTTGGGGTGTGCACTTACATACATGGTGCTGAGCAAAACCCTGTCTCAATTGTTTGTTTGGTATGTTGCATAAGTGTGTGTTTAGAAGTTTAATAGAAAGTCTTTTAAGTTATGAAAATTATTTTAACCTTTCTTCTGCTGGAGGGCTCAGTGTACTTTTTCAATGTGTTGCTTTCTATGAAGGTAATGCCGCTTGCCCCTCTAACACACACATTACAAATATACACATTATTCAGGGGGCCTCAAAATGCCTAGGGTTGTGGTTTGTCACTTTTTAGATTTTGCCACAGTACTTCTTCCTTCTTTGCAGTTTTTGGAAAAGTCGTAGGTACTATCACTTCTCTCTTCCTTCTGTATTAGAATCCCTAGCACTGTGCCTATCTAGACACACATAAATGTTTATAGAATGAGTGTTGAAGATATATTGTGAGGTCCAATACCAGCAACGTGATAGTAACAATTAACTGGGTTATCAGATTTTGAGTGTTCTTCTCATTCCACTTACCATTATGTAGTTATGTTGCTTTCCTAGTATTTGTACACATATGTAATATGTAAAAATATATTCAAGATGGGTGTTGAGTCATAGGTGTAGGGTGAGAACTGGGCAGCAAAATTTATATGCACCTGCCCCTTGCCAGGTGGTTCTCATGCAGCTACACAGTGAACTACTGCTTTAAGTCAATATCTATAACTCTAACTCTTTCTTATGAATGGCTGCATAATAGTCTAAATTGTGGCTGGATTAAATTTTTTTATCCATTCCTCTATTGATAAGCACTCAGTTTATTTTCAGTAAAAATAAAAAAAAAGTGTTTTGTTAAAAAAAAGTGTCAGTAAACACATATCCTTACTTACAGGTCCCTTTGTTTCTATGAATACAGTCCTAGAAAGTGTGCTTCCTGGCTTTGAGATACGGCATTTTAAATTTTGATAGGTAGTGCCAGTTAAAAAAGTCTTAATACCTACTTCCAGTAGCAGTCTAGAGAGTGCTCAGCTCCTTATACCTTTGCCAATCTAATGAGAAACACAAAGTATTTTTCTTTTTCACCTACTACTGAAGTTGAGTGTCTTGTTATTCAAGCTTATTGATCATTTGCATTTCTTTTTTGGTGATTTGATCCATTCTTATTCGTGCCATTTGTTTATTCTAGTGAAATATTTTTTTAATACTTTTTTTTTTTATAGAGGCATGTTTATTTATTTGTTTGTTTGTTTGTTTTGTTTATACATGCACTGGGTACAGTCAGAAGTGCGGGAGGGTGAGAGAATTCACCAGAGCCAGAGCAGGGAGCAGAGCAGGCAGAAGGACCGAAGTACACTGCTGAGGGGAGCAGCGGGCTGCAGGAGAGGTCTGCGCGCCATGTGGGACCCTCCTCAGGTGGCCGGGGAGCAGCCGGGGATTGAATCGGAGCCGCAGAGGCCGCGGGCAGCTTCGCAACCCAGCGCTCAACCGCTGCGCCACCGGGGAGGCCCTCCAGTGAAATATTAAGCAATCTTTGAATAATAGGGATATTATCCTTTCTTGGTCATGAGTATTATAATACTGTCCTCTAGTCTGCTATTTGTATTTGGATAGATAGGATAGGATAGCATTACATATATTTTAAAGTGTTGAGATTATGTATAAACAAATTTTATCTCATTTTTTATGCATTATAATATTTCAATATTTTTTCATATTGGTAATCCTTGGTGATTATCATTCCTAAAGTTTACATAAAATTATATTCAAATTTATTATATTTATTCAAGCTTCTAGAAATGTCCTATGGCTGTTATAGTAAATAATACTGTAATTAATATTTTCTTGCATTTAGGTTTTTTTTGTAGTTTGGATACTTAGGAGTTTCCTACAAGTGAAATAATTAGACCAAGAATATAATTCTTTTCGTGGTTTGTGGTAATTATTTCTTAAATTCTGTTTATAGTTTTTGATCAATTAGAAAATTAGGGGCAATATAATTGTAGTTTTTGCACAGTAATATCTACTACAGTTCAAATCATATTACAGAATTTCAAAAATTAAATTTCTTAAGTAACTTAGACTTGGACTCTTTTTCAGGTTACCTACAAAGTTAGGTTTAGTTCAAACAGAAATATTTTCTGCATACCTGTTATGTGTAAGAAGCATGCTAAGTGCTGCAAGGGATGTAATAGGTGCTTATAATGCTTCTTAAGAAGCATTTCAACCTAATGGAGAGCAAAAGAGAAAAAAGAAAAGTTTTATTTTACTTTCCTCTATAGTTAAGTATGATGAAAAAAAAATTAAGTACCACATAAGGGAAGAGATACTGCATCGGGAAAGTCTTCTTAAAGTTACTGCTTTCGGAGATAATCTTGAAGAATGAATAGCAATTTAGTAGTCAGTAATGTGAGGAGAGTATTATTGACTAGAGGGTATGTTTTTTGAGCAGAGGAAACAGAACAAAGATTTTGGAAAGTTTGTCAGTGGAGACAACATGATGAAACATAGGAAAACAGGACACTGCACCGGAAAAATAAAAGTGCAGCAGACTCTTGCAGGTTTTTTTTTTTTTAAAGATTTATTTATTTTTATACAAGAGCTGGGGTACAGGTCAGAGGTGTGGGAGGGTGAGAGGATTCACCAGAGACAGAGCCGGGAGCAGAACAGGCAGACGGACCAAAGGCACCGCTGAGGGGAGTAGTGGGCGCAACAGAAGAGGTCTGCTGCGCCATGTGGGAATCTCCCCGGCCGGCCAGGAATCGAACCGGCACTGCAGAGGCTGCACTGCAGGGCTGCGGACAGCTTCACAGTGTGGCACTCAACTCGCTGCGCCACTGGTGAGGCCCTCTTGCAGGTTTTGAAGGTACATTTAACTGGAAAGGAGGAGTGACATACTAAATGATTTTATCAGGGAGTTGTATTTTGGAATATTAATCTGATATTATCAATGGATTAGACTGAAATGAAAAAAAAGTCTAACTAATGGCTAAGGATTTTGGAAATCTGACTCTGTTATTGCTCACTTATCTCATCTGCGAGACTGGAATAATAATGCCTATGCACAGTGCAGTTGTGATGTATATAAAGTACCCATGAAGTAGCCAGCATGACTCCTGGTACATAGTGGGTATATTGTAACAAGTCTTTAGAATTGGTTTTATACTCTATGTACCCTCATAATAAAAAAGCAATCCAGGTAGGATTGCAGCCTATTCAATTAATTCTAGTCCTATAATATTAAAACTAAATTAGCTTTGGGCCTCCCTGGTTGCGCAGCGGTTGAGCGCTGGGTTGCGAAGCTGCCTGCAACCTCTGCAGTGCCGGTTCGATCCCCGGCTGCTCCCTGGCCACCGGAGGAGCGTCCCACATGGCGCGCAGACCTCTCCTGCCGCCCGCTGCTCCCCTCAGCAGTGTACTTTGGTCCTTCTGCCTGCTTTGCTCCCCGCTCTGGCTCTGGTGAATTCTCTCACCCTCCCGCGCTTGTGACTGTACCCAGTGCTTGTATAAATAAATAAATAAATAAATCTTTAAAAAAAAAAAAACTAAATTAGCTTTTATTTTTTTCCTCCAAAGGTCCTTTGGGAAGCTCATTGGATGGATGCTCTAAACCAAACAAGAGTGACTGAATTTGTCTTCTTGGGACTCACTGATAACTGGGTGCTTGAGCTGATATTTTTCATGACATTCTCAGTCACATATTCGCTAATCATTTTGGGGAACATTCTCATCATGATTACCATAGCTTTTTCTCCACGTCTCCATACCCCCATGTATTTCTTCCTGAGCAATCTGTCCTTTATTGATGTCTGCCACTCATCTGTCACTGTGCCCAAGATGCTGGAGGGTTTTCTTTTAGAGAGAAAGACCATTTCCTTTGATAACTGCATTGCGCAGCTCTTCTTCCTTCATCTGTTTGCTTGTTCTGAGATCTTCCTGCTGACCATTATGGCCTATGATCGCTATGTGGCTATCTGCACTCCCTTACACTACTCCACTGTGATGAATATGAAGGTCTGCATCCAGCTTGTCTTTGCTCTCTGGTTGGGGGGTACTGTTCACTCTCTGGTGCAAACCTTCTTGACCATTCGTCTACCTTACTGTGGCCCCAACATTATTGATAGCTACTTCTGTGATGTGCCTTCTGTCATCAAGCTGGCCTGCGCAGATACATATCTCACGGGAATGCTGATTGTTTCCAACAGTGGAACCATCTCCCTTGTCTGTTTCCTGGCTTTGGTCACCTCCTACACAGTCATCCTGGTTTCTCTGAGAAAACAATCAGCTGAAGGACGCCGGAAAGCCCTGTCTACCTGCTCAGCCCACTTCATGGTGGTTGCCCTCTTCTTTGGACCATGCATCTTCCTCTATACGCGGCCAGACTCCAACTTGTCCAGCGACAAGGTGGTATCTGTCTTCTACACTGCGGTCGCCCCTTTGCTGAATCCCCTCATTTATACCTTGAGGAATGAGGAGGTGAAAAATGCCATGAAGCATCTTAGACAGAGGCAAGTTGCTTTCATGAAATTACATACATGATAGAATGGGATTGCAGACATAATTATGGCCATATTCTTAAAGAGAGAGCAAAAACAAAGAATCAAAATCATTAGACAACAATGTATGGAGCAGGGCAGACTTTTGCATTAAGGACGGTGATTTATTATTACACTTATTACATGAAAGGGATAAAAATGTGGGAAAGTTTAAAGAAGGCTTTCGGTTTCACCAGTAAAATAACAAATTTAGGGCACAGACTCATTCTCAGAAGAGGTATAATTGTGAAAGAATGTACTTTCTTGAATTTTACTGTTCTGTGGGTTATTGCCTCTGAGAAGCTGTACGTCACATCTGCATTTATTTATTAGAATGATCTTGCTTTCCAGTGTATTTTCAAGTTATTTATTTGAAGATGGGGATGTATAAAGAATTTACTTTTTTGTTTAGCTTAAAAATTATTTTTTCAGCTTAAAAATTACTTATTTTGACATTAGAATTTTTTTCATACATGCACATGTTCCACTTACCCTCCACCAAATCACCCATGCCCATACTCCCTCTGTCCCCTTCCTCCACCCTTCCTCACTGCCCCCATTCCCTCTAGTAACCATTATACTCTTCACTAAGTTCAAGATTTATTGCTACTGTATTTTGCCTATGTATGTTTTTGTTATTTATATCCCACAGATGAGTGAAACCATCCCATATTTGTCTTTCATTTTTTTGACTTATTTCACGTAACATAATCACCTCAAGTTCCATCCATTAGTCCCAAATGCCACTATTTCATCTTTTTCACAGCTGTGTAGTATTCCATTGAGTATATATTCCACAATTTCTTTATCCATTCATCTATTGAAGGGCATTTGGGTTGGCTTCATGACTTGGTAATTGTGGGCAATGCTGTTATGTACACAGGCATAGATAACCTTTTTGGATTAGAGATTTCATATTATTTGGATAAATACATAATTGTGGTATTGCCAGATTATATAGAATTTTCATAAGACATCTCCATACCATTTCCCACAGGGACTTCACCAATTTGTGTTCCCATCAACAGTGGATAAGGTTCCTTTGATAAGTGTTCCTTTTTCTCCACATTTTTGCAATACTTGTTGATTCCATTCTTTTTTATATGAACCATTCTCACACTTAAAACATTTTATTTTGTGTCAACTGGGGATCACTTCTGGAGCATCATTCCTCAAAATGTTTATAAGCACGTCTTTATTTTTTTAAATTTGTTTTTTATTTTTTAAGAATTATTTATACAAGAGCCGAGGCACAGCCAGAGGCGTGGGAGGGTGAGAAAATTCACCAGAGATAGAGTGGGAACAGGCAGATGGATTGAAAACACTGTTGAAGGGAGCAGCAGGTGAGACAGGAGAGGTCTGCCACGTCATGTGGGTATCTCCCTGGCCGGCCAGGACTCGAACCCGTGCTGCAGAGGCTGCGGACAGCTTCACAGTGCTGTGCTCAAATGCTGTGCACCGGGGAGGCCCTATAAGCACTTCTTTAAATGCTGAATAGAGGAACAATTTTTTCTTTTCTTGAACATGTGTCCTGAAGGTACCACTTTCATTAAACATCTTTTTTTTTTTTTAAACCTACCATTTTTTTTTTTTTTTTTATAGAGGCATGCTTTATTTATTTGTTTGCTGGTTTCTTTGTTTGTTTTGTTTATACATGCACTGGGTACAGTCAGAAGCGCGGGAGGGTGAGAGAATTCACCAGAGCCAGAGCAGGGAGCAGAGCAGGCAGAAGGGCCGAGGTACACTGCTGAGGGGAGCAGCGGGCGGCAGGAGAGGTCTGCGCGCCATGTGGGACCCTCCTCCAGTGGCCGGGGAGCAGCCGGGGATCGAACCGGCGCCGCAGAGGCCGCGCGCAGCTTCGCAACCCAGCGCTCAACCGCTGCGCCACCGGGGAGGCCCTCATTAAACATCTTAAGTACATGCGTTTTCAAACACTTCCCTAGATGTGAATAACTTATTTTAAAATAAACTTCACTACATTAAAGTTTTACTGAATAAAATATATTCATTTTAATGGTAAAGTGTGAAAAATTTAGGAAAAGGTATATATTCATCAATGTAAGCACCTCCCCAATCAAGATATAGAACATTTCCATCACCCACAAATTTCTTGAGCTTTTTCTCAACCCATCATTTCTACCTCCATCCAAGTATCCAATGGTCCACTTTTTCTACTATAAATTAGATTTCTCTCTCTCTCTCTCTTTTTTTTTTTTTTTAAGATTTATTTTTTTGTTCATACCAGAACCAGGGTACAGACCAGATGTGCGGGAGGGTGAGAGGACTCACCAGAGACAGAGCGGGGAACAGAACAGGCAGACTGATGAAAAAAACTGCTGAGGAGAGCAGTGGGTGATACAGGAGAGGTCTGCCACACCATGCAGGGCCCTCGCGGCTGGCTGGGATCGAACCTGCGCTGTAGAGGCTGCGGACAGCTTCACAGCGCTGCGCTCAACCGCCTGCACCACCAGAAAGCATATTTCAGTGGATCTGCCCGTTCTGTTCCCCACTCTGTCTCTGGTGAATCCTCTCACCCTCCACACCTCTGGCCTATACCCCAGTTCTTGCATGCATAAATAAATAAATCTTTAAAAAAAATAAAAGGGGGTCTCCCCTGGTGGCACAGGCGGTTGAGTGCGGTGCTGTGAAGGCTGTTCGCAGCCTCTGCAGAGCTGGTTTGATCCCAGCCAGGCGGCAGGCTGGCGAGGGTCCCACATGGCACAGTAGATTTCTACCGTATCCCCTCCTGCTCCCCTCAGCAGTGTATTTTGTCGGTCTGCCTGTTCTGTTACCTGCTCTGCCTCTGGTGAATCCTCTCACCCTCCGCCCCACCTCTGGCCTGTGCCTGGGTTCTTGTACTACAAACAAACAAACAAATAAATAAATCCTAAAAAAAAAATAAGGAAATAGAAAAATAAAAGCAGTCTCTGGTCACCAGCTGGAGAAGAACTGAAGCTCTCAGTCCAATAACCCTTGAGGAATTGTAATCTGTCAAAAACCACTTGAGTTTGAAGGCAGATTCTTTCCCATTTGAGTCTTCAGTGAACTTTGGCTTTGCCAACGACTTGATTGAGCCTTGAGAGATACCCAAATCAGAGGACCCATCTGAGCAATGCTGAGATTCCTGATTGACTACAGAACCTTTGAGATAATAAATATATATTGTTTTAAGTTGCTAAGTTTGTGGTAATTTAAGTGACTGGTAATTCATACATTTAATATTCTATTAGCTTTCTATATTGATCTGATTATCTCAATTACAGCTAAATGTTCATTTTTTAAGGGGATGATGCAAATGTCTTATTGTTTCATAACGCCCCAGATTTTGTTTTTGCACAAAATTTGATCAGTAACTATAAAATTAAATTTTAGTTTAGCTTTTACTTCTTGATGGCGGGAATATTGAGCCCCTACCTCACCCCCCAATTCATCTATTCTTACTCTTGATTTAGGCCATATTGACAAAAGGGAATGTTATCTAAAGATTTTAATCACTGGAAATTTCTAGATCTAGGAGCCCAGATAATTCTTAGAATTTTGTAAGGGGTTTATCACTTCTATTTCCTATTATTATATATTTTTAAATCAAAATGGCATTGGCTTACAACACTGTATATTTTAGGAATATGGCTTCCCAATTCTTCAAATCTATGTTACCACACCATGCTGACTGTAGGGTAAGGAAAAATGTCAGGCTTTTCTGCCCTCCCGCCATCAGGAGAGATGATGGATCCTTGCGGTCCTGAATGCATGCCTGATGGCGGCCACCTGGAATAGGGTGTGGGCATCGGTAGATGGGATTCACCTGGGCTAAGACTGGGCTTTTAAGGTTGGCATCACGGGGACGCCAGCAGAAGCCAAGAAGCCAAGAACGAACAGAAGCCGAAAGAGAAGCCGAGAGAGAAGCAAAGAAGCAGAAGCAGAGATCACTGGAGAGCCCAGATAGAGTGAGGTTTGCTGGGGGCTGGGAGGCCTGCCAGCCTCCTGACCCCCCAGTACCCCTGCCTGCTGTGTACCGGGTAAATCCCAATAAAAGACCTGCAAAAGCCACTGAGGACTCTGACTCCTCCTTTACCCGGTCTGCTGGATCAGAAAACCTGCACTGTGGCCATTCCTGACCTTACACTGACCAACAACATAGTAACAACTCTCCACCACAGTCCACTCACTGGACCCTCTCCACTCTTTGCTCCCAGCTCTCTTTCCCTCGGGTAACTTCAGTTCTACAGAATGAATCCAAGGGTTTGTTTTGGTTTGAACTTTTCTATTCCTTTGCTTCTTTCTTTTTTTTAATTTTTTTTTTTATAGAGGCATGCTTTATTTATTTGTTTGCTGGTTTGTTTGTTTGTTTTGTTTATACATGCACTGGGTACAGTCAGAAGCGCGGGAGGGTGAGAGAATTCACCAGAGCCAGAGCGGGGAGCAGAGCAGGCAGAAGGACCAAGGTACACTGCTGAGGGGAGCAGCGGGCGGCAGGAGAGGTCTGCGCGCCATGTGGGACCCTCCTCCGGTGGCCGGGGAGCAGCCGGGGATCGAACCGGCGCCACAGAGGCCGCGGGCAGCTTCGCAACCCAGCACTCAACCGCTGCGCCACCGGGGAGGCCCTCCTTTGCTTCTTTCCATTCCATATATGAGTGCATTTCCTATGAAATTTTAAGTGGAGAGCAAATAAAAACTAAACAAAAACATCAGACACTATTAAAGATGGAATTCAAATCTGCAGGTGGTGGACAGATGGACTAACTCATTCATTTACTCATTCAAAATTGTAAATTCAGCTCCATTTATAAGAAAGATTTTTCTAGTATAAGGAAAAGAAAATATGAGTTAGTCCCAGGTCTTAAAGTTGTAGGCATACAAATTAACTGAAGTACAAGACAGTACGTGATACAGTACGTGATATAGTGAGAAAGGTACAGATATATTTCTGAGAGGGTCCACTAGTGGGATAAATTCCTTCGTGGTGGGGAAAGCAGAGAAGAATTCAGGGAGAAGTTGACTTTA